TCCGTCACCTTCCTTCCCTCCCTCTACTCCTCCTCTCTCTCTCTCTCTCTCTCTCGTTCTTGCTCTCGTCGTCCCGTCCCGCCTCGTCCCGTCTCATCGTCTCTCTTTGTTCCATGCTCTCGCGGTGCTCTCTCGTCCTTTAACCTCCGCTTCCCTGCCTTCCCTGTCTTTATCCTTCTTTCGCTGTTTTCTTTCTCTCTTTTTTCTTTCCCTCCAAAACTGCCGCGTATTACCCGTATGAATTACACGCATGCCGAAAAAATTTGCCTCAAGATGAAAAATTATATTTCCTTCTCTGTCTGATATTAATTATTCGCTATCTTTCCTTCTTATCTTTTTGCATTTTATTATTTTTTTTCTGAGAGTGAGCGTGTAATAATGTGCATTTGCGCTCAATAGTGTATATCTATCTGTTTAAGATAGTAATAAATTCCTTCTCACTCACGCATTCCCCTTTGCCATCTCTGTCTCGTTCGTTCATCTCGCTCTCACCGGCGGGCGCATACAGGTCGCTCGTTAATTAGAGCGAGAGGACATAACGAGCCGCGCGCATGGTGGGTGATGGCGCGAGAGATAAGGAAGAGAAGAAAGAGACGACGCGGGAGGAGGGATAGAGATGAATGATAATGGGGAGAGGGAGAGAGAGAAAGAAACTCTGTGTTAACGCGAGAGACGAAGAGGGTCTACCCTCTACATTCGAATAATTGTCACCTCCTGTCACCGTTCATTTGTACAAGTCGTTCAGCAATGACGCTCCTCCCTGGCGCGACAAGTTTTTTTTAGACAAGATTTTTTAGACAACGATTAAGAGGATCTATAGGCCATCCTGACGAGAGCCATAGAATGCACGTTTTAGGACTTCACGAATTAGTGTGAAAAGGACAAAAGAGATAGCATTAAAATGTGACACAGTACATTCGCCACGGGTATTGCAATTGTACATGTAATTAATTCGGTTTTATCTTTCATCTCATTTCATATTGATCCGATCTTTTTTCCGAAAACGAATAACGTCAAATAAAATAATGAAAATAATAATTGTCTAATATTTTTCTGTAATTTCTATAATCGTCGAGATAATTTCCGAATTGGTCAGTCTCTTTCTACTTTGTGTCTGTGAGACGAAGATAACGAGATCCCTCTTTGGTCTTACCACCATCCTTTTACGTGGGGACAGAAGATTCTTGACGGGAGGTCCACGCCACCGGCGCTACGTCATACTCGGTGGGTTCCTGGAAGGCGAGAATGTCCCTGCGTCCTTTTTTCTCGCTTTATCGATTACGGCGCGATAAAGGCGCCGCGAGATGTCTGCTTCCTCTGTCACTGCGTGACAAAACAAATTAGGGCCTCCGTAGAGTGAAATTATGAAGGGCGAAGGATGGCCGCTCGCGGAATATTATTAGTCTACAATACTCTGCAACCCTTAAAATTTAGGAAACTCGCATCGCAGATTAAAATAAACTGACAAAAATTTATCTTTAATTTTAATTACAAATTAAAAAAGGTAATTTATTTAATTCTGAAACAATAATAAAAATATAAATTAAAAGAAATAGCAGAAACATTCAAGAAATAATTCTTCAACTCAATATTTTAGTTAAAAATTAAAAGTTAGTGACTATGGAATATGTATTTTAATTAATTTAGTAATAATTTACCTGTTTCACACAGGACGCCGTTATCTTTTCGAGATAAACTTGATGCTTTGGACTTTTAGACTTGGAAACCTCTTTGCGGCTAATGTAGCTGTAACAGCGAGGGTGAGTGTGCATTTTTCAGGAACGATGACGAAAATGAGGAACAACACGGACGGCAATATAATTTTCTACATCCTGTACCAACATCCATTGTGCGTTTTCCACCAGCTTGATGGACTCTCAAATTTCGTTAAAAGTCTCGCTAACGTTACATAAAAGCATCTCGAGAAACCTTCTCGTTTAAGCGCTTCACTCACAGATAGTCTGTTCACAATTGTTTCGAAGTATTGTTTCAGTTAGTTTGTATCCACACACATTTGATATATTTAATTCGCAGAAATAACAGTTTTGCTGAAGTATCTAAAAAGTTGACCAGATATAGATCTAAAAAATTGAGCAGATCTAAAAATACATCTAAAAATAATTTTGTTGGATCATCAAAATAATTATAGAGCGTTCAAATTATTTGCTAAAATATAAAAAATTTTTGAAATATAATTATCATGCCTAAGCATCCTACAGCATTATTTTGATGATCTAGCAAAATTATTTTCAGATCTGTATCTGACCAAAATTTTTGGATATTTCAGCAAAACTGTTCTTTTCATATTGTTACATTAAAATTTATCTTATTCTTACAATTTTTTTCTATTACTATACATCCTTTGATAAATCGATTACTAAAAAAATTGTGAATATTAGAAATAAATCTACGTTTGTAAAATAATAAAATTGTAAAATAATAAATGATATAAAACTCGAGATCATCGACATCTTGGTCAGAGCTTTGTGAATGACAAAGGAGAATAATACTTTTACATAATAGCTCGTAAACGTAAGGGTAGGAAACACGACTAATCCAACCCTAGTTTTTGTATTTTCACAATACACTGAACACAGGGATTTCTTCGCGTTTGTAGAAATCTGGTCACCTTATTGATCTCTTTATTGAAGAAAACAACTCACTTGTACGTTGCGATTTGTACGTTTCATTTGTTTTGATTTGTAATTATGTATAATATTCTTCAGTAAATTATGCCGTTTAAAGAATATATTTAATTTCTATACATTATAGTATCTACATTTGACTGAAAGAAATAATTCTTTCAAATCAATACAGAAAATATACAAATTATCTTCTTGAAGACATGTCTTGTAAATGTGCACACAAAAAGAATAATTTTGCTCAAGGATCTCAAATCTTTAAAATAATTTTATTTTAGGCCATTAAAATTATTTTGTAGAACGTCCAAATTTATTATTATATAACATATTATATAGCATATAAAAAATTTTTGTAGTATTATATATAATTATATATAATTTAAGCGTCCACAATTTTGATGGTCCAATAAAATTATTTTCAGATCTGTTGATCAAATTTTTAAAGAAAAAAAAGTGCAGAGTTCTTTTTGTGCAATTTAACTACTCTCTTCTCAATTTTAACAGTTTGAAGATGGCTAAATGCGCACGCTGAATACAAAACTCTTGCGACTCTACGTCTATCTCTTTCACTATAAGCTTCTCGTAATCAAATTTTCAGCATCCTCTCGAAGGAGCTCGCGGCTATCATATCGCCGCCGCGCCCTGTTTCTCGGGACAAATGCGATATACCGTCTTCGTAAAAGAAATATCGATTCGTCATGCGACGGATGTTACTGCGTTTCCCAGGAGTCTCACTCCATGCAGAGACAGCGGGTAATAAAGAGAGACGGTAGTTGAAGATAGGTATGACGTCGACATGATCCTGCGGTGGGCCGGCCGCAACCGCACGGAAGAAATGGCGGAGTTGTGGCTGGTGCGGTGTCTTCATGATATAATAGAACAAAAGCTTCGCAAATTGCAGGAATAAAACAGAGAAAGAAAGAGAGAGAGAGAGAGAGAGAGAGAGAGAGAGAGAGAGAGAGAGAGAGAGAGAGAGAGAGAGAGAGAGAGAGAGAGAGAGAGGAGAGGAGAGGAGTAGGTAGGAGGTAGGTACGGTAGGACGGTACGGTACGGTACGGTACGGTACGGTACGGTTAACGTACGTTACGGTACGTAGTAGTACGTAGTAGTACGACGTACGTACGTACGTAGTACGTACGGTACGGTCGTACGGTAGTAGACGAGTACGTACGACGGACGGTACGACGGTAACGTAACGTAACGGTAACGGTAACGAACGTACGTACGTAGACGAGACGACGTACGTACGTACGGTAACGGTACGGTACGGAGGTACGTACGACGTACGTATAGAGGTAGTAGAGAGAGGGAGAGAGAGAGAGAGAGGGGTCCAGTCTTTGAAGTATGCGGGAGGCTTATAGTGGTCCACCCTGTGATCGTCTTTAACGTATTAATGGTGTACTTATGTACATAACGACCACCCAGGTACATGTGTACGAACACTTTAGGAAAATCACAAGTATATAAAGACATATACAATGTCACGGGATTTACAAGGTGGGACTATCAAGCGTACATGCGTTATTATTAATGCCATGGTATCATTTTTATTTCTCGCAGAATATAATCTTGATTTTTCCAGAACCATTATTTAAATAACATATTTTGATAATAATTATTTTATCAATTTCACTAATCTAAAGGCTTTGTTCCTCTTAAAAATTCGGACTTGAAGTGATTAATTAAAATCTTTATTTATTTTTCATGGACAGAATGATTTTGGTAAAATAAAATTTTGAATATAAATTTAAAAATAATTTTATTGAGTCATTAAGATAATTACATAGGCATAATGATAATGCAAAAATTTATTATATTTTATCGATCAATTTGAATGTTCTACATGAAAAAAAATAATGTTGAATCAATAGAATCAAGGCATGTAATTGAAATTAATTTTGTTAATATTAATTAATACTTGTTAATAATAATATATTAATGAAATAAATAAATATATATATTTTTTTTCTTCATCAACACTATTATTGAATTAAAAATATTATTTTCAATTATATTTGATGCTATTGACTCACTATTATTTTTTTCATATATATAATTATTTTCAGATCTAGTTAAATTTTTGAATACTTCAGAAAAATTATTCTTTTCATATACGAGCGATGATTGAAAAAATTAGTGGTTTATTTAATTCATTGTCAGATTCAATTATTTCAAATACAAAGGCTTTTATAAACAAAATTAATTTTGTTAGTTTAAATGAATTATAAAATATTTTATTTTCTTGTTATGATTTTATTGTCACGATAGAACGATATGACAATCAACGTTTGATATCTAAAAGATTTTATGGAAGTTCCCGGAACATACTTTATCGATCATAATCATTCATCGCTTCAAGTGCTGCGAGAGCCAGCACGAGGATTGTCATGAATCATCATGTCAAGTTTACCTCAACGTGGGATCGCAAAGAGTTAATGGATATAAGTATTGACGCATTCGCCGACAAAGATCT